AGACCAGAAGTCTTCAGACAGAATTCTCCTTGTTGTAGCTGAGAGCCAACCAACTTGCAAGTGACGCCAAAAAACCTTAAAAACTAGACTTAAAGGCTAAATTTGGGGCATTTATCATACATTTGTGGCTGTGTATTATTGTTCTACCTAAATAAGATTTAGGAAAGCAGACAGGTGGGTTATATTCTACTTTTGACAGCATGTGCTCCTGACATACACCTGAGGAATCTGGAGTCACTCATGCCTGTTCCTTATGGAGGACAGAGGTGCCACCCTGGTGCAAGGCAAAACCAGCTTGACAAGCCAAACATCTGCTGAGGTACTTCCTCTCCTTCTTGGCCCCTCCCTTGCCAGTGCACAGCTGGACAAGTCCAAAGAGCTGCTCCTCACCTCACCTCGCCTTGCTTCTGACTGATGCAAGAGGATTACAAAAGGCAGTCCCAAACTCTCCTACTTCAGAGCAGCCACGAGGGAGAGCTCCCTTGCATCTTTTCTTGACAGCAGGGTCAGGTTGGCAGCCCCAGCCTGTTGCCTCTGCTTCACCAGAATACATGCTTCCTACTCTTGGCACGGCCCAAAGTCTCATTCCATTGCCTGTGATCAGATGCTGCTGACTTGTAGTGTTACTCAAGGGATGGAGGAGAGAGGAGCAAAGCAAGAGAAGACAATCCCTAAAACCTGGGTGAGCCACACTGCACCTCTAGGACGAGCTTACTTCTTATTTTCCATCTCTCCTGGCTCTTTCCCCTAGCTGGTGCAAGCCCAGTCCTGTTGTTGAAAGAGATTTTGTCAGAATGTAACACTAGCTTACTAACACCTGTTTGCATTTTCATAGAGACTAACATAGGAAGGAAATGTTATTCTAAATCAGCACACACATTGTGTTCCTATCTCAGGTTGCATCCTTCCGGGAGTCAGGAAGCACTCAGATGTTTTTCATCTGAATTACTTTGCACAGTGTGGGCTACCCTGCCCTTCCCATCCATTACTGCCATCATTCCTTTTGGGGCAATAATGAAAAGGCTGTCCTCAGGACTCTGTAACTAATATTACTTGTCTTAAGATGGAAGATATAATTAGTAGTATTAAAGCTTACACAGCAAGAGACAGTAGCATGCAGCCAGCAGGTAGAGGGGCTGCTTGGTTTCCCCTACAGTAAGAGAGCACTCAATGCTTCTGTATAAAAGAATCCTTCTACTCATGCACAGAACAAGCAGTAATATCACTAGAAACAAGCCATAAGTATCATCAGTCACATGTGCCTGGTTTCCTTCTGCCTCAGCACACACAGTCAGTGAGAGAGGCAATAATCTTTCTCCAAAGCAAAACAATTCCTATTTATGCTCAGGCCAGAGGTAAAGTACTTTGGGTAGAATGGGCTCCGACCTGAACTTCCACCCCAAAATGAAACAGTCTTGCTCTTTAAATGTTCTTTTTTCCAGCATTGTGTATCTGTGAACCTTCTGAATTATATCTCAAAAAATTAACCAAAGACCTTACTTATATCAGATCTTGGAGCTTTTTTCTAGATTTAAGGATGTTTGAATTTGTTTGCATAAGCAAGCTAAACTGGCTTGTTTCTGAGGAGTGATTTGGCATTTAACTGAGAGGATAAGAAAATCATTAACTGGTGGGGCAAAAGAAAAAAAAAGAATTGATCTGACACTAAGTATGGATTCTAATGAAAATGTCTGAATTGTTTTATTGACTGATAATGTACTAAAGATCTTTCATAAAACACATATATGGAGGGATGTAATAGCAGAGGACTCACCTGAATTACATCTCAGTCCATGTAGTCATTTGGAAAATCACTTAAAGTACAGCATTGTCGCACATTATTTACATTATATTTTGAATCAGTAAAGGCTGCACAAATTCAATGTAGATGCAGAGATCCACCATGCTTCATCAATTAAACCAGTACAGCAAGTTAAAAAATTGAAAAGAATATTTATCTTTCATTACACTGCACCATTTTATTTAGAGCACTAGAAAAAGTCATGGAGGTAATCTGATTATCCATATGAAGTTGAAAACACTTCTAGAAAAGTAAACAAGAGCTTTTTAATTTTGCCTCAGAGAGCAGATGCAGTGTCAGATAATGTGTTAAGATGAAAACAGGAGAGGCCCATGAAAATTCCAACATCGACAAAAAGTAAATGATGGTCCAAAGTACACAAAGCCAGCGCAAAACCAGAAACAGTTTGAAGATAATTTGATACCAGCTCAGAGGAAGTTGAACGGACATGAGTAAAAAGCATTTCTATTTGATTTGAAAATTAAACAAATTCAAAATTAGGGCTATGTTTTCTAATAAATAAAAGATTAACCATGCATTTTACATGATTCAATAAAATTTACATGCATTCAATAAAAGATTAACCATGCAGTTACATTGATAACAATACAAAATGGTCAGATTTTTTGACTCTTATGGCAAAGTATCCAGACAGATGCTGAAAAGGACCAAGAATTGAAGCCCAGGTAAAGTAATAATTTGCCTTTCTCAATGAACGTGTAGGCTAGTGTATGATCTTATGAAAAGATCACCAATATAATTCTGGTAATTTCTGGCATTTAAGTTTCTTAATTATACATATAAATACAGAATGAGGGTTTTTTTACAGCCAAATTAAAAAATTTCAGGTGGCAGTGGCAAACGCTAGCTTGGACTGGTTCACTTGGCCCCAGATATAAATATTGTGATACACTTCTCCACTCATCATTTTACTAACATTAACCTCGGAGTTCTTAATCACAGTTTTATCTAACTCACTGATGGTCTATATCAAATCTTTGGAAATGCCTTCCACACATAGTTTCTGCTGAAGAGAACACTGCAGCACCACATCTTGATTTGCTGTGAAATCACCTACTTCTAGAACAAGGTTTTCCATTAAAAAATAGAGCAATTTGGTGCTTTTAGAGTCACAGCATGGGCTATACAGCTCTGTAAAACCAGCCTAAATCCACACAGCCCCTTTCATAGGGGTGCTATGACCTATTATTTCATGCAGTGCTGAGTATCATGCCACAGAAGACCTGGACTTGCCACCCAACTTCAAACAATTACTGACCCTGCTGTATGTTTAGAAGACCCTGGTAACATGTATAAGACAAATAAGCTCCTCCACATTCAAGCAGCTAAGCTGAGATCTTGATTACCTCCAGAAAAAGGGCCCCCCTTGCAGGGCCTTTATACATTCCTACTTTTGTTAACATAGGGCATAAAGCAGCTGGGATAGAGTCAAGTGCTTCAAGAGTGTCTCCTGGCAAGGAGTCCATTCAGTGCCATAACTCCTTTCCTTCTGCAGAGAACTGAAAGGCCTTAATGTACAGGGGTGTGGGCCAGGGAGAAATGAAGAAAAGAATCAACTCAGGAAAGAAAGCAAGAAATCAAAAAGAAGAGAGCTCATCATAGTCTACTGTTTCCTCAAGAGGGGAAGCAAAGAGGCAAATGCTGATCTCTGACAGGACCCCAGGAAATGGCCTGAATTTGTTTCAGAGGAGGTTTAAGTTGGATATTAGGGAAAGATACTTCACCCAGAGTGTGGCTGGGCACTTGAACAGGTTCCCCAGGGAAATGGTCATAGCACCAAGCCTGACAGAGCTTAGGAAGCTTTTGGACAATGCTCTCAAGCACATGGTGCGAGCCAGGAGTTGAGTCCAATGATCCTTGTTGGTCTCTTCCAACTCAGAACCTACTGTTATACAATGAACTTACAAATGTTCATGCTGTTGAAGCCATTGGCAGAGACAGAGAAAACAGAAGGACATCTGTTAAACGCTTATCTTGGCTACTCATCTAGTTCCCATTGTAATCACTTCAGAAGTGCACTAGTGGACTGGGACATGCAGAAGAAGCCCCCTCCTCTGCAGACCTTTGGGGTCAGAAAGAGCAGAGTGGGAGACAGAGGCTCAGCTGGGTGGAGATGGTGAACCTGAGGGTATGGACTGCTGTTGAAGCAGGGGAACACACTCCAAGTTGTTAGAAACCTTTTTGATGTGTGCCCAAGAGCATTCTCTTGGCAGCACCATTTGTGGATATGCAAGGAGCTAAGTCTGTCATACCAGCTCCTGGTGAACCACAGGCTCCTTCAGAAACATAAGATTCATCTTTTTACAAGGAGCAGATAGCCCATCTCTATAGAAGGACAGTCTCAAGGGAAATGACATACTGCTTTTATCTCCAGATACCTAGTCTCTGGACCTTGCAAGCTTTCACTGTGGTGATTCCAGTGAAGCAAGTCTTGGGTGAAATTATCCACATTACAGGCAGTCCAGACCCACAAAATACAGAACAACCTTCTCCAAAATATCAGGGCGTGAGGCTTAAGGGTGAGAAATTTGCTTCATGTGGTAATATTGTAAAACACAGGAAAAAGAAGAAGTTACTATAATAAACTACCAAAAATGGTCATAAGGTCTTAGAGGTAGATTAAGATACTTGCCAGTCTTTGTCACTGCCAAGGGATGACATGGAATCACTGCTGGAATTTGCTCAGTATGCATTCATGATTTCTTGTCCTTTCACAGTCCTTACTCGGAAGAGCCGAACAATGCTGTCATGGACTTCTGCAAACATGTGCCTTCCAGGAATTCTCACTCATAATGTATTCCTCTCAGTGGCTTCAAAAATAGCATTCTGATATTTGAGTTGAGGAAAAATTACGAAGAACCCATAGAAATTAGCAACAAATTGGTAATACTGACCAATGCTGATAATAATACTAATACATAATAGTGTATTCCCAGGTAAAGAAAGAAGAACTGTGGGTAAGGCAAATGCAGCTCAGGGCACACAGCAAACCCTAGCTGGCTGTGCTTACAGAGGCTGTTAAATAGTAGCTCCTGAATTTTTAAGATACAGTTCTCAGTTTCACTCCAAAGATCTGGCTAAACTCAAATGCAAAACAGTTTGATGCTCCTTTGTAAGACTGAATAGCAATAATCCACTATGGCATTTACACAGTGCTTCTCTCTTTGCTGTTTTACAGACTTTATTCAATCAATTCTTGTGTCTCTCCAATGAATAAAACTATGCCTTTCAGGAATGAGGAAACTGAGGAAGAGGTGCTAAACGTGTTTGCACGGCTCACAGAGATTTGGTCACAGCAGAAATTGTTGGATTCAGGAGGCTACTCCACCCCCATCTGCACCCACATCACAAGCCCACACCTTCCCCTTCTGGTGTTACTGGAATACAAATGCTTCTTTCTCTTATGTGCTTGCCAAGACCTGGGGCAGAACCATCATATTCCCTGTATGCCAGTGGATGTGGTCATTCCACAAGGTAATTTATAATATGTACAAAAGCTTCTTCTAAGGGTGTTGGTAAGATATATGGGGTTACTAAAGACCTAATAAAGACTAAGCCACACTAATAAAAGGCAAAGGTTGTAATTTAGAATGGAAAATCCTATGATTTAAAGGCAGTGGCCAAATATTGGATCATTTTATGTATTATTAATAAATAAGAACAAGCAAGGCACAGAACATCTGGTGTAAAAGATAAAACTCTTATCAATGTTCACCAGACTCCAGGATTTTTGTGCTGGGTAAACCCCAATGCCTGTGTGAGAACCTCCTCCACTGTACTGGTGGCATCACATACAGTTTGCCTGTGCTGGTTTGGCACAGGAGTGACTTTCGTGGAGAAGGTCCTGTCACCTGTTGCTGCCACCCTACTTTCAAGGTCCATTTGATCAGGTGTCTGTAGTCTAGTCAGGTATAAAGAGGCTCTGCAAACAGGATATGTACAATTTCACAAGCACCTCACAAGTGTTTCCTGCCTGGCACACATAAGACATGGCTATGATTTGATGAGCTACAGACCCCCTCTTGTAAGGAATCCAAGGAGCCTTTGTCGCCCATTGGGTAACATATAGGGGAGTGTCACACTCCTAGAGCAAGCCTTTGACGTTAAAACCCAATGTCTTTTCCACCAGCTCCATCAATACCACAACCAGCTCCCACTTTCTTTTCGATAGGAGCTTATTCACAGAATCACATGTTTGGAAGAGACCGTCAAGATCATCATTGAGTCCAACCCGTGACCTAACACCTCAACTAGACCATGGCACCAAGTGCAACATCCAGTCTTCCTAAACACATCCAGGGATGGTGATGACACCACCTCCCTGGGGAGGCCATTCCAATACTTTATCAGTCTTTCTGTAAAAAACTTCTTCCTAATATCCAATTTGTATTTCCCTTGGCACAGTTTAAAACTGTGCCCTCTGGTTCTATCAGTTGCTGCCTGGATAAAGAGACCAACAATCACCTTTCAGGGAGTTATAGAGAGTGATAAGGTCACCTCTGAGTCTCCTTTTCTCCAGGCTGAACACCCCCAGCTCCCTCAGCCGTTCCTCACAGGGTTTGTGTTCCAAGCCCCTCTCCAGCCTCGTTGACTCCTCTGGATGTGCTCAAGTGCCTCAATGTCCTTCCCAAACTGAGGGCCCAGAACTGACACAGCACTCAAGGTGTGGCCTCACCAGTGCTGAGTACAGGAGGAGAATGACCTCCCTGCTCCTGCTGGCCACACAATTCCTAATGCAGGCCAGGATGCCCTTGGCCTTCTGGGCCACCAGGGCACACTGCTGGCTCATGTCCAGTTGGCTGTCACCAGCACCCCCAGGTCCCTTTCCAGTCACACTGTCCCCAGCTTGTAATGCTACAGGGGGTAACTGTGGCCAAAATGTAGGACTTGGCACTTGGACTTATTAAACATCATCTTACTGGACTCTGCCCATCCATCTAAGTGTTCCAGGTTTCTCTGCAGAGCCCTCCCACGTCCCAACAGATTGACACACGCTCCCAGCTTAGTGTTGTCTGCAAATTTACTAATGAAGGACTCAATCCCCTCATCCATGTCATCAATAAAGCCATTGAACAGAGCTGGTCCCAGCACAGAGCCCTGAGGGACACCACTGGTGCCTGGCCCCAGCTGGATGCAGCACTGCTCACCAGCACTCTCTGGCCCAGCCATGCAGCCAGTTCTGAACCCAGCACAGAGTGCTCCTGTCCCAGCCGTGGGCTGCAGCTTCTCCAGCAGTGTGCTGTGGGAGACAGTGCCAAAGGCCTTGCTGAAGCCCAAATGATCAACATGCACAGCCTTTCCTGCATCCACCAGGCAGGTCACCTGGTCATAGAAGGAGACCAGGCTGGTCAAGCACAACCTTTCCCTCCTAAACCCCTGCTGGCTGGGTCTGATACCCTGGCCATCCTGTAAGTGCTGTGTGATGACACTCAGTATAAACTGTTCCTAACCTTACTGGGTACTGAAGTCAGGATAACTGGCCTATAATTACCAGGATCATCCTTCCCACCCTTTTTTTGAATGGATGTCACATTGGCCAGCTTCCAGTTCTCTGGAAACTCACCAGTGAGCCAGGACTGTTGCAAAATGATAGAGAGTGGCTTCACAAGCTCGTCTGCCAGCTCTTTAATCACCAGATGGATTTCATCTGGTCTTATGGATTTATCCAAATTTATCCAAATGGCTCAGCAGTTCTCTGACTGCCTCCTCCTGGATGATGGGGGACCATTCTGCTCCCTGACAACATCTACCAACCCAGAAGGACAGTTGTCTTAAGGACAAGCTGTCTTCCCACTAGAGTCTGGGACAAAGAAGGCATTAAGCACTTTCGCCTTCTCCTCATCTGCAGTTACCAAGTCCTCATCTCGGTATCTTTCCACTTATGTACTTGGGATTCCTTGATCCCCTACCTATAATTTTGCCCTTGCTAACCTTATTGCTTATTTTCTATAGACATTAACACAGCTTTTTGTCAGGCCAGCAGCTTCACCAGCACCCTTAGCTGAGGTTATGCAGCCAGTGGGAAGCAAAGTTGAACCTTGAGTCCCTTGAGCATCAGCAGCCAAGCACTGATGGTGGGGGAGGATAACACAGAGGAAGGTGCAGTGCCCTCTACTACTACTCTCACTATCACACTTACCCATCTATTTTACACCTTGCTGGCAGATGTTTATCCTCACACTTGAGACACTCTTAAACACTTTAGGTTAAACTATGCATGTATTGACTCCATGGCATTGCAACTGAGGCCTGAGGTTACTAGAAGGGTAAAGAGCAGAAAACCTAGTAGAAACTTAAAGCACCTGAGCAAATGAACAATGTATTCCTTTACAGGCCATAGTAGTCTGCAGACACAGTGGAAGAAGGAATAAAAAAGGGATTTGTGCCTTAAGAACACAGGACATTCCTCAGCACATGTATCCATGCTTACCAGTGCTTTCCCTGTGCAGTAGTGCTGCATGCAGTGTGACTGTTCATGTAAGCAGGTCGTGGCTTGTGACAGCAGGCTTTGGTCTTTCAGTCATCACAATCTGTTTCCTGAGGCATTGACACTTAATCCATGATCTTGAATCATAACGTTTTCTGATCAGCATGAAAAGATCTTTATACAGAAATATTGCCATTTTCATTTCCACCTAGGTGCTTCCTCTAGCCTTTGGAGAGCTGGGATATGCTGGTTACTGTGACAATGGTCTCCAGCTGGTGTTTGTAAGGTATCCATTCCCCAGGGTATGGAGTGCCTTGTGTCTGATCTTTCAGCACTAAAACTGTTTAAGCTTTGCAAATAAGGGAACACTTAAAAGCCATAGTTTGACAATAACAGAAGAAATTTACCAAAAGATCAAATAGCAAACACATTGTTAAGATGACATTTAATGAAGAAAATTTTTCCTTGGGTTCTGCAGTGCTGCCACTTGCCTATGATTCTGACTAATCAGTACCTGAAAGGTCCTTCAAGGCTGTCATGTCCTGGAGAGTTTTAGATCTGTGTCTTTTCTGCTTTGTGCTAATGATGACTACAGGAGCCACCTCTGACAATTATTTTAAGCAGTCTTATTTCCCCCACTATACAGAAATACCTTCTCCTCATCCCTCCCTATCTTGTGGTTTAACAGACCCTTACCTCTAATGACCAGCTCTAGGGGTGCTATTTGCTAAGAAGGAGCTTGAGTCATATTTTATCTTTCCATTACAATCTTTTAATGAATGCTTCCATTGAATATCCAAACTAGAGCACTGATGGCTCCAAGCTTAAACAGTATTTTCAATTTACCAAGTCTTTTAAGGCATGGTGTTAAAACTTTACAAGTCGTATATTCAAGAAGTTATTAACCAGATAAAAAACATAGCCTGAAAATCAGTTCATAACAGCACCACAGAAATAGAAATCACAATATCTCAGCATCATAGCAAGTGTTACCATGATCTCTTGGTCTAACTATATGATAGAACTGGAAAATGTATTAGCTTATTTGGTTAGTACTACTTTATTTTGGTTAGTGCTTCTTTGCAGCTTCATATCCCCAAAGGAGCATAGTCACACTAATACTGCCCCAATACTAAATGATGTAAATGCTGTACTATTAGTTTTCATCATTTTCAACTAAAGTGTAGCTGCCTGCATGACCTGACTTGTTTCCCAGGGCAGTATTTCAACAGCCATTACAGAAGCTGGTGCATCCCCTGGAGTTTCAATTTAATGCCTTCAAACCACAGGCTGAGCTGTTCAAGTTTTATGGTTTAAAGTTTATTCTAAAATTTATTTTATAGTTGAAAATTTATTTTCTTTTAAACTCTCCAGAATGCCCTCCAGCCAGTTCATAAATGGCAGAATAGGCTTGTTTTCTTCCAGCCAAATTGAACCAGAGAGGTTATAGAGCAGCACAACCACACCACACAGAATGAGCAATCAAGCAACTCTAAGAGACACAGTGCAAGATCCTTAGTCATTTTACATCCATGAGAAGTTCTCACTAGGCTCATGAAAATTTTTTGCCTACATTATGTTGGTTGTGTACAAAGTCTGTGTGTTTGTGTAAGAAAGAAAGCAAACCAAACTGAGCTAAACAATCAGGAAGGACTTTAACTATTGCAGCTGCAAGCAACTGCAGCCTTTAAACATACAGGCAGTGCAGCTGGTGAGTGCTGAGTATTAATACCTACACTCCAGCTCTTGTGTGGCACTCCTTTGTCTCCTAGAAACATAAAGTTTGCCAAAGTAAGCAGAATTTTTTTCCACTCCTAGCAGAGTACCTGCAGAGAAAGATGACACTTTGCCCTTGGCAAAGGGGAGTAACACCCTGGCACATATGCCTGCTCTCTCAACAAGCTGTTGTACCATCAACCTGAAAGTGTCAAAACAAAAGCTTTTTGTTTTCCTGTCTAGCCCGCTTTCTTCCCAAAGTACAAGCCTCATTTCAGAAATAGGCATTTCACAAAAGCTCTTCTGAGGTGCTTTCATAGGCTCTGTTCCCTGTAGCGGCTGGACCCTGTGTATGTGAGTATGTGAGTATGAGCTTGAGGAGCTGTTCAAGCAAAAATGCTTGCAGGTCTGCAAGTAGAAGATGCAGATCCAGCTAGTAAAAGATTGGAGGGCTGCAGCAAAATGAAAGACATAGCACATTTTTGCAATCTCTAGAAGGTGAAGACGAAATCTTAATGCTGAATTCAAAAACTGAAAAGTGAGTGAGAAAATAAGGCAGGGAAGTACTATGGCAAGAAAATGGCTTTCATGGAGTTTTGAAAAACCTGTAGGGACTAAACATTTATAATATGTCCATTTATACCCCTTTAGAATTGCAACTTAGACAAAGGATGAAAGAGGCAATGCATAAGAGCTTCAGTGTATGAGTGCCTCTTCTGCTAAGCTTTCTGACTTTAAAATAGCTAAGTCTGAATGTTTGAAAAATTCCAAGTTACAGTACAATAGAATTCAATTTTTACTAAAAATGAAGGCTTTGCCCCCTCCTGGCATTTCATCTATCTGTTCTCTGTTATGACACCCCAGCTCTTCCATAGGTCCTTTACTCATATGGAGAGCTGCCTCTGACAGATGATCAGGCTGAAGATCTGGAAGAGATCCAGAAGCACAGGAGCTCACAACAGTTGTGGATGACACAAACTGACAAGGCGGCAAATAACCATGAAGACTCTTTGGTATAGTGGCACACATATATAAAATATATAAATTCATAATACAAATAATATAAATGACGTTTGTGTACACACACAGAAATACATATGCATATTTGCTTAAGCAACCTGGATTGTTTGGAGAATTTGATTAATGCAAAATACGGTTCTATGTGACTATTTAGTACTTGGCATGGTCATAAAAAGAAGTCCTGAAGGTCATGCCTACAAATGCATGGACTGCAGTGTGAGTGGCAGTATGATAAGTAGGAGTCTCAGCTCAACAGGAATTATTATTTTGATGTAGACACAAATCAGACTATTATAGTTCTTGAACAGATAAAAAAAGAAAAGTGAGAAACATCTGAAAGTATGATTTC